CAAACACACTCAGCATAACTTAACCAGTTCTTGGTAGTTTAGGGTCACCGTCTCGACTCTCAGTGACTGTGGTGATGCATTCATTCTCTTTCATCCTTTTCTATCAGTAATCAGCTCTGCTGGCTGTGCCCACTTCTCTCAGCTCCACCTTTCTACCTTACTACCATTTACTCTCATTTAATCTGCAATGATCTAAGAAGTATGACAGCTACGTTTGTTAAAATTGTTCATAAAATAATATGCTCCAAATTACTGTCTGAGAGCATCTCCAGTAAAGTACATGAACTTTGTGAAAAATATTTCAGTGGCTCAGAGACTTTTTTCCTGTTCTTTATAAGATCTTTGCAGCATTCCCAGGTGAGTGAGAGTAAAAGACACTGGGAAAATTACTAAAAATTGCTTATCAATATAAAGTACCTTATTAGGAAATTTTTACTTCCTGAGAACACTATAAGAGATAGTACAGAGGCTGTGAGGAAAATCTGAGGAGGGAGGAAGTGTTTCATTTATATGTGAGCTTTATTAACTATCTTACCATCTTCACTGTCAATATAGATCAGTGAGAGTTAAGTAGTAAAACTGTGACCCCCATCTTACCAAAAAAAAACTATGGAACCAACAGAAAAAAATAAGTTAACAAATCATTTTATCTTTCTTCCTCCCCTTAAAGGCTAAGAGAGCATTTCTTACCTTACTAAACTGTCCAATAACATGCTTCAGAATGTTGGGAGGAGCATCATATAGAAATGGTTCAAGGGCTGGTAGGTAGGTGCATTTTTGTAGGATATTCTTTATGGCCTTTTTACTCTATCGAAATACAAAGCAAAATGGATATAAATGTAAGCAATCAATGAAAGACTTAACAAGAATTCATATATCACATTTCTGGAATTTGAAAATAAAATCAATTTCCTGGTCTAACCTGCAGTTGTTTCATTTTTTTAAAAAATTGTTGTCAGAAAAACTCGTTTGTTGGTCGGTTTTGTCAGAGAGTACCCTACAAGTTGTCTTCCTATTGAACCTAAAAATGCACAGTGTATTACTGAGGTCTTAAAATATGTATGAGAAAATTAAAAGTCTAAAGCATAAAGTTACAAATGATAAATCAGTATGTACCATATTAGTGTAAAAATGTATATATATGAACTTGTGAGATAACTAGTACATCCTATTTCTTCCAATCAACAAATATGAGAAAATAACTTAGTTTTTTGTAGAATTTCACTATCAGGTTCTACATTCTCCAGACAATTTCATGGCTTATACATAAGTAGTCAGAAATGTCTACAGTGTGCGTCAGTCAATGAGCACTTGTAGATACGCTGCTGTAGGTCATGGGCAGACATTTCCCCATTCACAAATAGAAGCAAAACACACAGATCTACTCAACTGCAGAGAAAAGCTCTTCTCAACAATACAGCGTGTATCACCGATAAGCAAAAGAACAGGTACCACATGTACCTTTCCCACACCCCTCAGCGCTCCCGTGTATTTCAAAGTGGCATCACGTGGTGCTGACAACCTGCCACAAATGTGGCTGGAGAAGAGCCCTAATGTGACTGCAGCACGTCACCGCAGCCAGCTCTCAGGCCATGGCTGGTTGTGATTCTGTTTCTTTGTATTGAAGCCTGTCCCCTTCACTTTGGAAAGCCTCACAACAATTGGGTTTTTCTATAGCTGTTTTCCCCTAAAATTCCACATCTGCCTGTCTGTGGTTTGGCGCTACAGTGCATCCTTGCGGCCTTTCCTCTGTGTACTTATTCTCTTCTGGAGGCCTTAGCCAACCTGGTCTTTTGGAATCATAATCTTATGTTATATTGATGTTTAACAATGCTCTTTAAATGTCAAGCAGCGTTTTGATTTTCACATCAAGAGTTTTATAATTGGCAAGTGTGTTCATCAAAAACTTTTATCACATGTGTACTATCAGTGAAGTATCTCTTGAATTTAAGGTTTCCCAGAGATCCAGGCTAAGCAGTCTTGTATCACCTCTTATCTCTTGACACATTTGTCCTCAAACATTGTTTTATAAATTAGATTAAATGAAACAAGGAATGTAAAATATGCAGCCCCAATTTTTTCCACATGTAGTCTAAGTTAGAACTAAACTCTTGATTCCCAACACAATTGGTTACACCTTTGTGAACCATCTTAAGATCACGGTGCCCTTAGCAAGCCAACAAATTTAACTTAACTACTATCAGTTACAAGGTCTATGAACAGTAGAGCAGAAATCACATCCACTGTACCATGCAGACAACCTTACTCTAATTCTAACAGTTCCAAGTTGATGATGTATTGCCAAGTTATTAATCAAAGACTAGAAAAGAGTCTAATGACACTAGAAATTCACTGAACTTTACAATCTTTCATTTGGAAGAAATATACTCAATTTATGACTATATTCTTCTAGACAGAATGTATGTTATAATTAATAATCAGCTATGTTATCCAGCATGATAGAAATATTAATTAAAATTTTGTTTACATGTCTAAATCTGAGCTTAAGATTTTCTGACTTTATTAAAATATAATTTACATACCATAATTTCACTCAAGTACACAATTCAATGATTTTTAATAAATCCGCAGTATTGTACAACCATCTCCACAATCTAATTTCAGAACATTTTCAGCATCCCAGAAGGAAACCTCATGCCCATCTGAAGTCACTCTCACCCCTACCAGCTCCAGGCAACTACTAATCTGCTCTCTGTTTCTAAATGTCATTTTCTTGACTTTTCTGGACAAGCCATATAAATGAAATCATACAATATGTGAACTTTCATGCCTAGCCTCTTTCACTAAGTGTAATGTTTGTGAGGTTCATCCATGTTGTAGCATGTATCACTACTTTGTTCCTTTTCATTATCAAATAGTATTCCATTATACAGACTTGCCACATTTTGTTTATCCATTCATCAGTTGATAGACATTTAGGTTGTTTCCACTTTGAGCTATTACGAATAAGACAACTATGAAGATTTGTGTGTACAACTGCTTTCATTTCTCATGGTTAAACAGAAGTGAAATTGTTGAACGATTAAAATAAATTTATGTTTAATATTTTGAGAAACTGCCAAACTGTTTTTCAATGTAACTGCAACATTTTACATTCCTTCCAGCAATGTTAAGAGTTGGTTCAAGGTTCTCGAAGTGGTGATCAACATTTGTTACTATCTGTTTTATTAATTACAGGATTCTTGTGGGTGTAAAGTAATATCTCATCATGGTGTTTGGTTTTTGTTTTTGTTTTTGATTTGCATTTCCCTAGTGACTAATAATGTTGAATGTCTTTTCATCTGCTAATTGGCCATTTGAATATCTTCATTGATGAAATGTCTATTCAGATTTCTTTCCCATTATTTAATTGGGCTGTCTTCCTATCACTGAGTTGTAAGAGTTCTTTATATATTTTAGATATAAATCCTCTCTTGAATATATGATTTACAAATATTTTCTCCAAGTTTGTATGGCTTGTCTTTTCATTTTCTTAATGGTGTCTTTTGAAGCATAAAAGTTTTTAATTT